TTCCTTTAACTTTCATCACTTCCTCCCCCTAAGCACACACCCCTTAGGCTGTCAATAACCCTCACCCCATCCCCTTAGACCCAATGGGCGTGTGGCACCGCCTACTCGGACCATCCAAGAGCCAATGCGCTTGTCTTCCGCCAGCTAGCCCCGCCTCCCTTTGTTTGTCCTGTATAAATATCCCCGCTGAAAAATAAAGTTTGAGGCTTGATCAGAATACTGTCTTGCCTCCATCTCTTTGTGTCTCCTGTCTCGCCTTCATCCTCCATAGGTTCCTCCTCGTCCCGCGTTGTTTTGTCCCGCCGGCCGGGGCAACTTAGCACAGTCATTAAGGAAAATAAGAACTCGAAGGGTGGGTTTAACAATAGTTTGCATATGGTTAGAGCAAGAAAAGGATTTAAAAAGTGGAGAAAAGGACATAGAAGATGTTTGGGATACGGGACAAAATAACGGGACGCAGCGAGGAGAGGGCGGGAGCCAGCGCCAGGGCGGTGGGGACGGAACCGTTAGGAGGATCTTAATCCCGGGAGACAGCTTTGCCTGCGTCTGAAAATACAGCCAGAAACTGATGAAAAGGCCAGTGTGTTGGAAAATAAAATTTAGCAAAATCAATCCCGCTGGTAATAGAATTCTTTAACAGACCCGTTTCCACAGGAAAACTAGAGAAAGTTCTCAAGGAATATTTCGTGTAAAACCATCAGGCCTGGACGGTTTCCCGGGGGGATTCTATCAAACTTTGAGAGACCAGATTAAAACTTCTAAGTCCTTTTTATGAAGAAAACATAGCAACGACGCTTAAACTTAGTAACCATGGCATAAAAGAAGAAATTTACAAACCAGTGCGAATTTTACAGAGTGATGCAGAAAACCTCGAAAAAAACAGCTGCAAACAACTCAAATGCCACATTCAAAACATCAGTTCTCCAGGACCAGGTGGTTTTAGATCTTCATTCAAGAATGATTAAATATTAGGAAATCTATTAATATTATTCACTCCATTAATATCTCTAAGGGAAAGAATTGTATGATTTTCTCCTTGGATAATGAGGATACTTTGATAAAAGTCAACATCAATTTCTAATAAAAACTAGTGAGCAAAAGGGTAATTCCTATTAAAACAGGTAAATAGATAAAAATACTTAAGAAGAAAGTTATGAAGAAATCTTCAAAACGTGCACAAAGAAAATTAAGAAACACTCCTGAAAGCTATAGAAACAGACTTGAAAGATACAGACATTTTTGTACCTTCTGTGACATCGACACGTAAAAACGGAGTTCTGCTGACTCACGAAGTTAACGTAATCCCAGTGAAAACGCCAGCAAGCTTTCCTCCCTCGACCTAGTCAGACTGACTCTAAAGCTCGCCTGGAAAAGTAGACGCAGGAGAAACCTGGGGGAGGAAGGACGATGAGGGGCGAACCCCGACGGCACCATGGGGCGCGGGCGGCGGAGACGAGCTCCGCGGGGCGGGGCGGAGCACGGCGCCCAGGACAGGGCGGCGTCCCGCCTCCGGGCAAAGACGGGCTGCTTAGTGAGCGGTGCTGGGACAGCTCCACACACGAAAATGGCCCTCCGAGCGGATCAGGGGTGGCAATATGAAATTAAAGGTAAACGACAAAATACGTGGGAATCGCTTTAAAACCTCGGTGTAGGACAAGGCTTCCTAACCCTGTCTTAATCTGGCAGCAACGACGAAAGACTGATTAATTTGACGACTTAACAAGAAAAACGTCTTCGTGGCGATGAACACGAGAGTCGTTTTGAGCTGACGTTCGCGACGTGTATCGCAGATAAGGGAACTGGTATTTCCATTACATAAAGAACGTGTTTTTTAAACCTGAGTTTTCTTTTGAGAAACTACTTGCATTACGTTAAATGCTCCCGAGTGAGCTGTGAAGCCGTCGCTCAGGGAAGGCGCCCACGTCCCAAAGTCACGGCTCGTGTGGTCACGCGGCAGCCCTGTCCTGGACGAATTACCCGCGAGCGTCGTCCCCTGGGGCGTGGAACTGCTCGTCTGGCTGTGCCGGTCAGAGGGCCCCGCGGCCTTGGTCCAAGGGGACGCGGTTTCGCTCCCGCATTTAAATCTTCACAGCTGTTTGAAAGCTCATTCCTGCACTGCGACTGACAAATAGATCAACTTTTATCTTTTTAGACATATATTCGGAGAAATATATCTGGACAAAAAATTCAGGATAATTTAGAATTATTTTTTTAAGTCCGAAAGCCTTATAAAATGGCTATAAGGGAGACGGAAAGATATAGGCATTTCACAAAACATGTGTAAAATGGCTCATAAACATATGAAAAGATGTTCAAACTTTACTCATAATAAGAGAAATTCAGTACAAACAGCACCAACTGGCAGCTACTCAGCTGGGCGAGGCTTCGGGTCTCGACGGTACAGTTGCTGGCGAGGCCGGTGACGGGGCTGGGGAGCCGTGACGCGGCCCGAGCGAGCGGACTTGGCAATACCCGAAATACTCACTCATGTCCCCTTTGACCCAGCCACCCCACGTCCAGAAATTTACCTAAAAACACACCTCCAAACAATACGGAAACATGTCTGCATGAGGCTGTCATTGCTCGCAGTTGCAAAATATTGGAAATCACCGAAATGTCCAAGTAAGGGAGAGAGATTCTAAAAATGTGGCGCTTCCCCGGGAGAGGAGCACGTGGCCGGACGAGAGGCACCGCCACCGACGCAGGAGGCGTCAGAGGAGACGAGGCGTCGCTTAGCCTGAGATGAGGGGAACGGTGAGGAACACGCAGCCCGGCAGCGTCCGCGACGACGGGCAAACCAGAAACGAGGGGACTGGTCACTGGCAGGGGGGCCCGAGGCCGCAGGGGCGTCTCCCTGGGTGTGTCTCGAAGGGTTTTGCGGCTTAGTCACAGCCTCCGTCACCGTCACCGTCACCGCAGGGGCAGCTCAGCCGGGCGTCAGAAACAAAGGCCCTCGAGGGACACAGGACGGCGACTGCTAAATGACGAGGCGGCCTTTTCCTTGACAAAGCACAGAACGAGTTTCGCAGCGTCTCGGTCACACGCGAGGCAAAGCTCGAGCCGAGCGCTTCCTGCGGCTGGACGGTCTCTACACCCAGCGCCTCAGACGACTATAGTTTGTAGGGTGTTTGAGCTCAGGGCCGTGCAGGGCGTCGGCGTCGGCGGCCCCCGGAGGGCTGAGCGCGCCGCTGTCGCCCATCTCGTAGGTTACGAGGCTGAAGATTAAGGGGTGCAGGGCGTCGGCGTTTCGGGGACAGATGGTGTGGGGAAGCGAGGAGCCCCGTGCTCGGGGCGCACACTCCCCCGGGGCACACGCGTCAGATTTCAAAGCCGTGCAGGACTCAGATCCCTAGAGAGAATGTCTCACGGACAGGAGGCACCACAGCTCGCGGTCACCTGCGGGTGAGGCGGACACCCAGGCCGGCGCTTCGGTGAGATGAGGAAGCGGGTTTCGTGAGAAAAGTCTGTCGCCGAAAAGAAAAGAGGCAAAGACGAAGCCGAAGGCCAGGCCACAGGAGGGGGGAGAAGCCGTCCGTGCCGCCGGGCTGGGCTGGACCAGGCGTGGGGCAGGGCTGCGGCCCCCCTTCCCCCTGGGGACCGGGGAAAGCCGCCCAAAGCTCAGGGCCCTCCAGCCGCGAGAGCGGAGGGTCCGGCGGGGAAACGGGACGGGGCGGCGGGGTGACGGCCAGGTTTGGCGTAGCGGCCTGAGCCGTGGTGCTCGGGGGGAGGGCCCCAGTTTGCTGGGGACCTGGAAGGGCTCGCTGGCTCCAGACGGCGAGGGTTTGAGGACGCCTCCCGGCTTCTGATTATGATTAAACGGTCGGGCAAAGGGGACATTTGGTGGGGAGGAGAAGGCTGGGGGGGGCCGGGTTTGGGACGCGCGTGTGTTGAGATGCCTGTGGGGTCTCCGAGGTGGATGCCAAGTAGACAGCTGGCCAGCTTCACAGGCCGCGTCTGCTCGGGCGGCCGTGACAGACGCCACAGGCCGGGCGGCTTGAGCGACGGAAACTGGCTCCCTCTCGGCTCCGGAGGCTGCAGATGAGCGATCGGGGCGGTGGCGGCTGCGGCTTCTTCCGAGATCCTGGCTGGCAGACGGCCGCCTTCTGGCCGTGTCCTCACACGTCCCTCCTCTGTGCACGCCAGAGTCCGTGTGGCCAAACTCCCTCTTTTCCTAAGGACACCGGTCAGAGGGGGTCAGGGCTCATTGCAGCCGCCTCGGTTTTAATCACCGCTGTAAAGGTCCTCGCTCTAAATACGGTTGAATTTCGAAGGAGCGGGGTCAAAAGGCCTCTAACATATAAACTTGGGGGGCGGTGGGGGGGACACGGCTCAGCACGTAGCGGGTCGATGGTGCTGGAGCGGGAGACGAAGCTCGGCTGGCCGCGGCGATGCAGGGCTTGGCACGGCGGTGGCGTTTGCAGGCGTCACAAGGACACGGTCCCGCGCGCGGGGGAAGCGGAGGGCTTGCTCATCTCTTGGAGCAGAAGCGCAGTCTCGGTGGACATTACTTACGATCTTTGCCATCAGGATGTCAAGTGAAAAAAAAAAGGATTTCAACTCAGAGCCAAAAGAACTACAGCCAGAGGCGCAGGGCGAAGGCCAGGGGAAGCCCGAGCTCGGGGAGGGCGGCGCTGGGCGCTGGGCAACGGGCACAGGCGCTCGCTTCGGCCCGAGGACGGGCCGGCCCGCCCAGGCCAGCGGTGACACTGAGGGCGGCGAGTCCCTGCCCACTGTGGAAGCCGCACGCAGCACGTGGGCTCGCGGACCCCTCGGCCGCCATCACCTGGCCCCAGGGCGGCCGACGGGGCAGGTGGCGCTGTGTGTCCTGTGGTGCGTTCAGTGTCCAGTTTTCCTTCCAACAGAGCATCTCAACCGTCTTCTGCTGTGACGCTCGGCTCAGGCCCAGGAACCCCTGAGGCCAAGGCAAGGTTCAGGAGGTCCCCTTCGCCCACCCCCAAAACTCGGCTCCCTCGTGACCCCAGCGCGTGGCAGCCCCCCACCTTCGGTTCCCTCTGTCACCGGGGTGCACGTCCAGATCCAGGAGCCGTGGGGCCACAACCAGCGCCCGGCGGAGCGCCCGAGACCAGGACCACGCCGCCCGGTTTCCACAGCGGCCCTCCGAGGCCAGCAGGGTCCGCCCCGCTCCCCGGGGAGGAAGCCGGGCTCCCACCGCAGCTGCCCGGCGATGGGGCAGGAGCTCTGAGAGTGGAATGATCTGGACTCAAACCTCCGTCCTCCAGTGAGTAGTTCTGTGACGCTGGGCATTTTCCTTAGTTTCCCCGAAGCTCTCGTGTTCCACCTGTACACGGGAAGCTGCCCATCGAGTGGATAGAGCCGGCGTGGCGCGGACTGGGTCCGGTGCCAGCACGCAGGGGTCGCCTCGTGCACGGGACCGGCACACCTTCCGTGACCGGCACCTTCCGTGTGCCACGGAAGCCTCCCGGGAGCTGTTCAGAAGTTTGGGGTTCAGTTATCATGTTTGGGGGGCTGGAAGATGCTTCTCATGCGAAGCGAGAGCGTTGTCTTGGGGGAGCCACACTGTGGGACGCCACCAGAGCATTTCGATCTGCCGCCATGGCGCCGCCCTCCGCCCGGCGGCGTGAACTCCCTGGACCAGGGGCGACCTTGGTCGGGGTGCCCCTTCCGCCCTGCTCCCCGTGTTCTGGTCCCCAGGCCTCCGCCGCGGGCTTGGGCCGGCCCGGGACGCGATGTCAGCCCCGGAGCTTCCTCATCCGAGAGGCAGACCTGCCATTTCCCTGCATTTCGAGTTGTCGCGTGACCTCTCCAGGCCACACGCACGCAGTGCACGGACGGGCGTGTCCGCATCCTGAGGTGTCCGGGAAAGTCGGCCGTTGGGGGGCACGTTGATCCTTGACAGTGAGGTGTTTCGGCGCCTTTCTCAAACTTGGCTTCCATGTCGCTAGTCTTCCAATTAACAAATCTAGCAAACTCCAAATGTAGGAAGGCACACTCTGGTTCTGCTCTAATGACGGTGTCTGCTCTCCCACTAAATCGTCACGTAGGCGTCAGAGCAGAGAGGGTGCGGGATCCCGGGCGGGGCTTCGGGCGTGGCCACCTCATCCTTCCCCGGCTCGATTTTGTTTTCAAAGACTCTTGGGTGTCAAAATCCTCTTAAGATAGATATTGAGTAGGAGACTAAGGAATGGAACAAGATTCACAGGGGCAGGTTCGTAGAACACACTCGGTGCTTGTCTAAACTCTACCGTTTAAAAATAACCCCTCGCTTCAGCAGCGCGCGTGCTAACAACGTCAGAGCAACAGAGAGAAGTTCGGCGCGGCCCCCCCCAGGATGACACGCGCACGCGGGACGCACCTCGGCAGCCCCAGGCCCCCCCCCGCTCTGCCCATTAGCTCAGGAGAAACAGTGAGTCAAAGCACAACGTGTGACACTCGGCGGCAAAGCGCAACTTTTCACTGTAATAAATAAGTAAAGTAACAAAGTAATTTTCTAATTTGCTGTTCATGGCAAAACCCATAAATATCTTGACATTTCAAAACTTTTGCACGATAGGCAAATTATCACGTTTCTCTTCTCAAAACTTTCTGTCCTAGTAGAATGTGACCAAAAAAGAAAATTTAAAAAGTCTTTGGGACCAAATAAAGAATTCAATCATTTATGTCAAAAAGATTCCCCCCCAAAAGTCTAGCTTTAAACAAAAGAAGCTCAGTTATCATTTTATACTTTACCTTGGCTTAAATAATTTTCTTATGTTAAAAAGGGGCCCGGCTGAGTTCGAACGATTATTGGTATTAGAAAGTACGAGCCAGCGGTTTCCATTATTTTGAAACTTTCGCTTCATCCGGTTTTTCTTCCTTGGAAAAGACCAGGAGGCACAGATCTATCCGAGTTTAATTCCTCACTTTAACCAAATATCCGTTTCCCCTCCTTCCTGGGAAACAAACGACAAACGAACAAGCGAACCTTTTCCCAGACGGTTCCCTCCCCTCTGCTCCTAAGTCATCTGGGGGCTGTTTCTCGTTTGCTTTTCCTGCCGCTTTTCGGAAATTTGCTGAAGTAACACATCGTTCCATCCATTCTCTTTCCTGCACGAGGCCCCGGAGGTCAGGTCGCCCGGCCCCCCCGCCCAGGCTGCAGACCCTGCGCCTCGCCCAGCGTCG